GAAGCAGGCTTCCCGCTGAGCAGGGAGCCCGATGTGGGGCTTAATCCCAGGACCCTGGGATCATGACCTGAGCCGAAAGCAGATGCTTAACGACTGAGCCACCCAGGCGCCCCGACAAATCATTTTCTAACAGCACATCGAGAAAACAAAAGCTCAGAAGCCTCACGGTTACTACATTACAGTAATAAGTGAAGGTTGGCTATGGTAGAGAAATGGCTTCAGTAAGTTTCGTAGCTTTATTCTGAAATGCTGCATGACTCACGTCGTGACCATTTACAGTCCCACAACCCACAACCATGTCAGCATAGCAGCAGATAGAAAAATAATGGCACGGTCACACCCAAGGGAGAAGAGAACTCAAACATGGTCTCAAGTGTCTTGGGCTCTGAGACCGTCCGCGTCCTGCCCTTGAGGATTGTGTTATGGTAACCGAAGGAACTCGATTTTCCTCTCTACCCAGGCGGACACCTGCATTCCTAAGCTGAATGAAGGGGATCAAATTGTGTTAATCAATGGCCGGGATATCTCAGAACACACGCATGACCAAGTGGTGATGTTCATCAAAGCCAGCCGGGAGTCCCACACGCGGGAGCTGGCCCTGGTGATCAGGAGAAAAGGTAACAGCCACCGCAGGGGAGGAGGCTTAGCGAGGTGGGGCCCTATCTCGCCCGTTCCGTGGTTTTGAAAATGTTGAGCTTGTAGCCAACGTTGGACAATCAAGAACTTCCGCTTCACAACCAAGATGTGGGACTTCTCACTTGAAAAATAGGAAGATCTGCCCACGCAGGGCCCAACCCCTGGTGGCCAGCCCTCTGGAGGTAGGCAGCATTCACCCACCCCCTTTACACAAGACATGAGCCCTGATCCCTCCCAGGCCGGCTCCCCCCGCATCATGCCCCTCTCTCAGCTGCCTGGCCCTGCAGACATTTGTGTTTTCAGCCCCTTCACGAAGGGTCGGGTTCTGTTGAAGTCAGTAGAGCAGAGCATCCCGGGGTGATCCTACCTCCACCGCTACTGGGTTGAGGGACCTTGAGCAAGTTTCTTGCGCAGTTCGTGCTTCAGTTCCCTCTGATGTAGGGTAAGGGTACAGTAACCACTCCGTCACGGGGTTCTTGTGAAGACGGACTGATGCTTAGACTTGGAGAACGCCTAGAATGCTTCCTGATACCAGGTGGGCGTTTGAAGGACGGCTTCTCTTAAATACCATGACTTGTGTTGTTGTGGTGGGGGCTGTAAAACAAGCCAAGTCCTTGAATCCTTCTGCACAGGTTTAAAAGACTGAAGGGAGATGAAGTGTGTGACTCGAGGCCTGGCTGCGCATCTGTGTTCTGGCTGCACGGGTGTGTGTACCCCCAGCCCCCAGGCCCCCACGCACCTGCTTTCCCTCTGTCCCCGTCCATCTCTGAGCCCAGAGCTGGCCTGCGTCTGTGAGGCCTTGCCCCATCTCTCCAGATCCTACCGCCCCCCCGCCAACCACCGACGCCATGCCCAGCCAGGCCGGTGTTCAGTGTTCAGGGGCCGTGGTTGCTGATGTCGAGCAGCACAGGGCAAAGGGCCCTGTGCTGTGCCTATTGCTTTATGTAACCCTCTTAGATCAGTACTTAGGTCAATATGAGGGAAGGGATGAGGAAACCAAGTCACAGACTGGCTAATGATGGGAAATGAATCCAGTGATGGGGAGTAGGCCCCCTCACAGGATGCACCCCGGGGCGTGCGGACTAGAGTCCTCGGGCCAGGCAGGGGGAGGGGAGTCCTCCACCAGCCCGTGGCAGGGGGCTGGCGCTGGTCTGAGAAGAAAAAATGGATGCTTGTAAACTATTAGAGGCAAAAGGGCAGGGCCACAGGCTGTCTAGAACTAACGATAATAAGTTCATTTTTAAAATAAACATTTAAGTAAAAAAGAATTGACTGAATGAAAAATAAGTAAACAGCTTAGGGAGTCGCAGACATAACAGAAATCATATCCTTACAAAACAGCAGAAGCAATGTGCTTTCAGGGTCTGTGGAAAGAATGGAGTCTTTTGGATCAGAGATAATGTAGACTGACTGGACTCCTGTGTGTGTCCCCCCACCCCCCTGATAGTCTGGGTCACTTTGGACACTTTAGACAACTTCTTCACCCTGATAGTCCATTTCCTCAACTGTAAAATGGGGACAATGGCAGCTAGTTCAACATTCAGTTCAACTATGTGGGAAAATGCCGTGGTTGTTATTTTCCTTCTCCTTTCTTGTTGTCCTGAAGGCAGTAGGGAGCCATTGAAGGCTTTTGAGTAAGAGAATGACTTCCCTTCCTAGGTGGAAAGGGAAAATTGAGAGATGATGCCAAAGTTTCCAGTTTGGGAGAACGGAGAAGAAAGTGGCAGTGGACAGAAAGAGGCACGTGAGACTGGGGAGGAAGTTAGTATAGGGCAGGGATGGGGGAGATCCCAGGTTTGCCTTTACCCAGAGGAGTCTGATGCGAAGGGAGAATCTGTACTGACGAGGTAGGAGTGAACCCAGAGGAGGTGTTAGGACTTGATACATTTACTTGGGAACCTCCCACCTAAAGATGGCCTTGAGGGAGAAGCTGACTGGGCTCTGTGGGATAATGCGGGTCATAAAGCGCCCATGAAAAATACTTGTTTTAAGGGAGCAAATGAAAGGGACCTGAGAAAGAAGTAGGGGAGGGGAGACAGTTGGGTGGAAGAATAACCAGGTCAGAGAGAACAAAGGTGGAGGAAGTAAGGTTTCTTTAAAAACATTCTTTCCCTTTCTCCCACCTTTGTCAAAAGGCTCTGAGTACAAAACACCATCATTTAAAACTAACCAGAAAGATTAGTATGTCATTTTGTATAATTAGCACTTACTGAATCATTCAAGAAGTAGTGTCTTTGGTGAAAATGATTACCATGAGCTTAATCGTTTAATAAGCTGTTTTAAACCATCTGCATTCAGGTGCCGTAAGTATATATATATATATATATTTTTTTTTTTTTTGAGGAAACAGATCTACCAGACTGTTCCTACCCCTGCCAGACACACTCTTTCTTGTTCACTACAGCTGTGCACTCATTCGCTGACATCAAATCTGAAGATGAACTGAACCAGCTTTTCCCAGAGGCCATTTTCCCCATTTGTCCAGAGGGTGGGGACACCTTGGAGGGATCCATGGAACAGCTAAAGAAGGGCCTTGAAAGCGGGACAGTGCTGATCCAGTTCGAGGTAAGAGACCTCGAGGGCCAAGTCCTGGGCCTGTGGGGATGCCACAGCAGCCTCAGTGCCTCAGTGGGCTGCTCAGTTGCTTTTGCGTGACCCGAGTCACCAGGCAGCCCGTGCTCATCGTGGGAACACAGTGGGGGCTCAGAGCCTAGGGCAGCAGAGCAGGCCTGGAAAGCTGGGGATGGGGCCACAGCCCAGTGCTGAACTCTGCCTCACCCTCTTATCTAGTAATGCTCGGTAGTCATGGAGAAACATGTCAGAAATCGAGGAGGAGGGACTCTGAGCATATTTAGCTGCCAACACAAAAGCTCTCAACGCTCAGCAGTAGAAGGTGCTGGAGAGGCAGTGTGGGTGAGCCCCAGAGGGTGGTGGAGGAGCCTGTCCCTGACCCCACCAGACATGCTCTGTAGTTTGGAGCAGGTTGCATCATCACATGAGGGCAGAGCGGCTGGCCTGCCCAGGTCCCCCGGAACCATGTGACCAGGAGTAGAATCCAGAGTCAGACCCTGTCTTCCTTCCCTGGGAGGGGCCTCTAATCACAGAATTGAGACTGACAGAGGCACACGCAGGGCCCTCGCAGAACGAAGCAGGAACAAAGGCAATTCGGTCTTTAAGTCCACTGTATTGATCAGTAACAGAGTGAATGGAGTGTGTTTATCTTCCAAATTTTTTAAAGGTAGAAGAACTGTAGTTCATACAATAAAAGATAACAGAAGAGCACAAAGAAGCCTAACATAGACAGTTAAAATAGATCATGGTTAACGACAGCATACACAGTCTGGATTCATAAATTAGGAAAGAGTCCAGATTCGGTTCAAAAGCACAAGTCAGCAATGCCATTTTTAATTGGAAAGCTATAGAAAGGGAAAAGTCACAGAAGCAAAACTAAGAAGTTTGTGAAATGCACGTGGTCACATACTGATTCAGAAAAGCATGAGTGATGTGCATATCAAACAGGAAACACTATAAAGCAAAGAATCTTAAGAAAAGGTTTATAATGGCATAAGGAATGGAATGTAAGTAATACGTTATTAGAGCAATGTTTATCTAAACAACAGTAGAAAGTATAAAAACCCGTAAGTAAAAGGTGAAGATAACTAACCCCACCCTGAAAAATAACTTCCTATCTTGTGGAAATGAAATCAGGGTGAGAGGGGAGGAATAATATAATTAATTGGTAGAATTGATGGACATATACTGAGTATCTACAAAGAGAAATAGCCCTTTTTTTCCAGTGTCCTGTAGGAGGCTGTGTTGACTTAAGATTTTGAAGGAAGAAAATGTAGAGGTTACGTTCTCTGGCCTTGCATTGCAAAAAAGTTCAAAATTGATATATACATTTTAAACACTGTAAAACTCAACATTTTTAAACACTCTCCAAAGTAACTGAAACAAGGAGAAGGTAAAAGCCTTCTTACAGAATATGAATAAATGTTTGGCATTGGAGGGGATGGGAAAGGTGGGGAGGCATTATGGAGACGCCCGTTCAGCGAGTGTGTATTGGGTATTTACCGTGTGCCAAACACTGCGTGAGGAACATAATGAGGGAAAGAGGATTTCTGGCCCCAAGCAGCTAACAACCTAATATTGGTATATTTGGAGGATGTATCCTAAGTCCCAGAAACAGCTAAAGACCAAGGTAGGGGGCCGCCTGGATGGCTCAGTCAGTTAAGCGTCTGCCTTCGGCTCAGGTCATGGTCCCAGGGTCCTGGGATCGAGCCCCGCATCGGGCTCCCTGCTCAGCAGGGAGTCTGCTTCTCCCTCTCCCTCTGCCTGCCGCTCTGCCTACTTGTGCTCACTCTCTCTCTCTCTGTCTCCCTCTCTTTCTATCAAATAAAGAAATAAAATCTTAAAAAAAAAAAAAAAAAGACCAAGGTAGGGCAAGATTTCCTTACGTAGTAGATGTATGTTCCATAGGAAATGGAGGTGAGGGGGTTCCAGGAGGTCGTCTGAGGTGAGATGTATTAAGGAGATGGATGGATTAAGTGTGGATGGAAGGTCGTTCCAGCAAGGTCCCAGCCTGAATGCAGGCTAAGCTCCTCAGGTGTCAGGTAGCTCAGGGAAGCACGCCTACCTGGGTTGAGAAATGCCACGAGTCCTGGGAGAGGCTCCGGGTGTTGGGAGTCCTTCCATCGCACACCGTCCTTGATCGGATTGTCCACAGGGAGGCACTGTGGGCTCTCAAAGAGGGAAAAAGCTTAACTGTGGTCTTACACAGTGCTCCAGAAAACCCCCTCCACTCAGCTGGCTCCACTTTGGTTTCACATGTGGGAATCCCACATAAGATTTTCCTCGAACACTGTTCACTGAACTTCATTGAGAAGTTTAAAAATACCTGAGAGAGGAGTACCCACCATCCCCTGTGGTTTTGAGTAGCGTCTCTCAAAGGGTGACCCACGGACCATCTGTATGGCTGTCGCCTGAAGAGCCTGTGAAACGGGGCCCAGCCCCCAGCTGCTGGATGAGTGCGCTGGGATAGGGCCTGGCTGTTGGTCCTCCTCACAGGATGGGCAGGAGGTTCTGATGCCCAGGCTGATCCAGGGGACCACAGAGTGGGGACTGTACCACCACTGCCCGTGCAAAGTCTCGTCTTTAGAGCTCAGAGTCGGACTGCAGCATAAGGAATGGAGAACATAGAAAGGTTAGGTTAGGGTTAAATTTTAGTATGCGCACATTTCAGCTAGTCTGTACGTTTCCTAGAGATCGAGTAGGAAAACTCTCTTTTTGCTTACTATCGCTTGCAGTAGAGTGAATACCAGAGCCGCTCCGTGCTGGAGCTGGTGGGGTACACGGAGCCCTGCCGCCTCAGTCTCCCCACACAGCCCCCCAGGGAGCCCTAGAGCATGGAACGTAGTGTAACGACCCCTGTTACAGAAGCAGGAAGACGCCTTCCCCAGCTGCTAGAGGGGAGGAATGCTCAAGGAAGCTGGATCAAACTGGAAACTACGGCAAAGGAAAACCCTGAATTGAGCACTTAGTATGTGCCAAGTGCTTTCTGGGCATCTCCTCGCAGAACTGCTATCCCCACCGTGTAGATGGAGGAGCAGAGTCTCAGAGAGCTTGTTGCACAGTAAATGGTTCTGCCCAATTAGAACCAGGCAGGCTAACTCAGGAGCTTGTTCTCTTTTGGAAACAACAAAGTGCTGTTTACGTGTGGGAGTTGTTATTAGAATAGTACAGCATCAGAGCTAGAAAAAAATCTGAGAAGCAGTCTCACCACACAGAGCCAGACTTTAAATCCTGACTCTGTCACTCGCTTCCTATGTGACCTCAGGCAGCGTGTCCCTTTCACCTCTCTGTACCCTCTACTTCCCCATCTGTAAATTGGGTATCTCATGGGTCGGTTGTAAGGCTTAGATGAGATAAATACTCAATGCGTTATTTAGCACACGGTAAGAATGCCATAAAAAGTAACAACTCTAATTATTTATTAAAAAAACAGGCTCAGTCTCCGTACAAGAAGTGGTCATGTCTGCTGGGTTTGGAACCCTGGGCTGTCTGACTCCAGAATCTTGGCTGTTCTGATTTTCCACCTGCTGCCCCCCTCCCCCGGTGCCATTAGCAGATGGCAGCCTATCTGATGGGGGCTGTGCTCTGGACAGGAGCAGAAAGAGGGGGCTGGCCCCTAGCAGGTGTCCATGGCACCCACTCCACAATGCCAAGGGCCTGCCCTGGGGTAGCTGGGCCATGGATAGAATCCCCCCTGTGATGGCTAGCTGGTTCTCAGCAAAGCTTGTTTTAAAGCATTTTTGCATTAGGGGAATTCCCCGTCCCTCCCGTGGCTTTTGGTAAACAATTACTAATGTGTTCCAGAAAGCATTTGGTCCCAGCTGTAATAAAACTATGCTTAATAATTATTAGCATTTCTGTAGCACTTTCGAATCTGCCAAGTATGTTTCCCATATGTTGTCTCTGTTGATTCTCACAACTTTAGGATGGCGCCTTTCTAGATGGAGAAAATGAGGCTCGGGGGTTGGGGACTTGCCTTGTGTTAAATAGCTGGTTGGATAGAGGTAGGATTAGAATCTGTGTGAAAGTCTAGTCAGTGTCAGAATGCACCATTGCCAGGTGCCCCCCAGCTCCTCACCCAGCCTCCAGTCTGAGCCCTTCCCTCCCAGAGCTATACCACATGAGCTGCCCAGTGTGAGCAGTTTGGCATCAAACCGCCTGAATACTCTACCTGGTTCAGCCAAGGTTGGGCATCACTCTGTCGCACGTCAAGGAGAAGATTGGGGGTTTGCATGGCTCCAAGTCTTACCATCCCCAGGATGCTCTTTTGTTAAGGAACCTATTAAGTCTGCCCCAGGTTCATTCCTTCCTAAAGGAAACCTGTGGCTCATTTCATACTTACTCTGAGTTGACCTTTCTATTTAAGCAAGGGAAGGGGTGTCCTTTGAGAACCAGCTTTCCCAGCAAAGGACCTTTGTGCCCATCTCCATCCAGTGACCGGGTGGCTTGCAACTTCCCTGCCTCCTTGTCCAGTGAAGACTTCTGCGGAAACTTTTAGAGTGAGGTTGATAGGAAATGAACCTCTTTCCTCCTCCCTCTCTGCACGGTTACGAGCCGGGGCTACAGGACTCCACCAGAGACCACGTCCAGCTCAGAAACCCTCACCCGTCTCCCTTCAGCCTCTTCCTCCTTTACAAAACCAGAAGCCCGTCTTTTTCCCTCTTTTGACCCATTTTCCCTGAAGTCCCTCCTATATCACCCTTATAGGAAACAACCATTAGTGTCAAAACAAGTGACTCACTGGCTCCTAGGATGACTATAAAAATTGATCTGGAAGGACTAAGCTGAAGACTTAATGAGAGGTTTAAATTGACACACGTAGAAATTAGTGAAGACAGTTATACCTTCGAGATTAGAATGCATACCTTAAAAAAAAAAAACCATTTAAGAATTTTTCCAGGTTTTTTTTTTCCTTTAAGGAAAACGTTCAGTAATGTGCAGAATACCAGGAGCAAGTGTGAGGGCTTTACATTTCAGATTCCTGAAGCCCATTT